TTTACTTTTTTGCCCATAGGGTCCACATTTCTTTCAGGGCTGGGAAAATACTTTTGGAGTAAATAGAAAACATATTGAGGTTTCCAAAACTGCTTTCAGCTTTCTGATCCCAGCTTTGGGATTTTAGAACATGTCGCCCAAAGTTGAAGTTTTGATAAAAAATAGGTCATATTCGGAAGGACGCAGTGGCAACATTTTCAAAAAATAGGACAAGTTTTTTACGCCAAAGCGTTCTGCGTAAAGATACCTTTTAAAAAACTATAAAATTGTTATATGTTCTTAATAAAAATTTTATTTTATTAATAAAAGAGTTAAGACACATTTTTGGCAAAAAAACGCCAAAAATCTAAAATTTTTTGAATTTTTAAATTAAAAAACGTATATTTTTGGATCTGTAAACGATATTGATCTGAAATTTTTTGTATATTATTGGAAATTTTGTTGTCTAACTAACAAGAAAAATTGAGTCCATTTGGTCCAAAATTACGCCCGGTATTCAAAAAAAGGCGGACCAAGGTATGGTAAATTTTGTATCACTAAATTTTTAAATGCCTATAACTCGGATATTATAAGAGATAAGTAGTATGTCCAAGCATGTTTTTTCAAGATCTCGTCGAGCGCTTTCACAAAATATAAAAATCTTTGTATTTGGGTGAAAAACAAAAAAATGGCACGAGTTTAAAAATTTTACATGTCGTAGGTACCCTACTTTGAGCCGCCACAGCGCCGTCCCTGGGGCATCTGCGGGGTTCATCTAAAAAACTTAAACTCGAATACTCCTTGGCTACGCTCACGCCAAATTTTATCCCGATCGGATCAGCCGTTTAGAAATGCCAGATTTATTTCCAAAAAATTTCCATTCTGCCCCACTGTGCACTGATGGTGGTGGAGGGTATAAAAATAATCTATAAGTTTCTATTATTTATTTATGCACCCTTAAGAAGCCATGAATAATGGAAGCTTATAAATTATTATTATTAAAATTAATAAAATTAAACCATAATCTATATATATAAAAATGAATGTGTGTTTATTTATTTGTGGGTTTGTTTGTTTGAAGTCTATAGACGGACGAAATGGGCGGAATGACTACAGTGGGCGTGGCACCTTTCATATTAAGAAAATATTAAATCAGTATATCTCGGAAAATGTAACAGTTAGTCATATTCATCTGAACATTTTGGGGGAAAAAACGCATTTTCATCAGGGGGTGGCTTGGAACCCCCATATGAATTATATAGAAAAATTTGTATATCTGAGATACTGTAGAAGCTAGAATCTTCAAATTTTACATGAAGAACTTTGACATTCATGTGAACATTTAGAGAAAAATGGACGGACTTTCAATGAGGGGATTGACCTTTCCCATATGAATTAAATACAATACAATATTATATACATTTTTCATCCTTATTAGCGTTCGGAAAAATTGGCGAACTTGCAATCATTTGGGTCGCTCTCCCATGTGTAAGTGGGTTTTTTTGCTTTTGGGGTAGCAAAGCACACTGGGTATAGCTAGTAAATTATATATATGAAAATAGTTTTCATCAGACGTTGATCAGAATAGTCAGGCCATTTTCTTAACTTTGATCAGACTTTTGTACGAACTGTCGGACATTTTATCAGACATTAATCCGACATCTATCAGACTTTCTTTTATTTCATCAGACTTTCGTACGAAATTTCGAAAGAATGTCAGACATGGTATGTATCAGACATTTGGCCGACTTCAATCAGATTTGTCGAAAATTCCTTCAGAATTTCCCCAGGAATTTACATCAGATTTCGTACCGAATTCTGACCGACAACTCTGCACATTTCCCCGAATTTCCTCAGACAAAGAGTTCCGAATTCCGAGCAACCTTTCATACGAATTTTGTACATAGATAATATTTGATTAGATCAGTATGACGTTCTAAGCGAGCAATCTAAGTACTTAGAGTGCAATGAATGCGTAGTCCAACATATCATGCACTTTAATTATAACATATGTAGATTACGATTTAAGCAGAGAATTAGCTGTTTTTTCATGATGTTTTTTGTTTTTATTTGTTAAAAAAACTGAATTTTTCTTTTGTATACTACATGAAAAGAATAATTTTTTTGTTTCAGTTTAAAATTTCAAAAGAAAATTAAGATTCACTTCATTTATCTTCGTTAAAATTGTTTAATTATATTTTTATTATAATATTTATATTATAAAAAATATGTATTTTTTTTATAACAAAATTGGAAGACATGGTACTTTAACTTACAAATGCAAATAGGATTGCAAACTACATAAATACATTACATTCTTATTTGCAAGCGTTTATAGGCGTCTCATTAACTTCGCTTACATTCTAAGCGAGAGCACATCAATGAGGCAGCCTAGGACACTTTGATGTTAAATCTAAGTGGAAGAATAAGTGAAAGCATCGCTACTGACTGTCACGAAATACCAGTTAGATAAGCGAGTACATAATAAGTATTTTTACCGCTTGGATTTTCTTAGCGTCTCTCTTTCTGCGCTTGGCTGATTTATATTGTTTTTATACCGTTTACCTTCGTGAGAAGGGTATACATATGTACATAAGTTTAACATTCCGTTTGTAATTTCCACAATAATTTTCCGACCCTATGAAGTACATATATTCTGAATCCTACCGGAGTCGATTAAGCCATGTCCGTCTGTATGTCTGTTGAAATCAGTTTTCTGAAGACCCCAGATATGTTCGGGATCCAAATCATCAATAATTCTGTCAGGCATGCTTTCCAGAAGTTTCCTATTTAAAATCAGCAAAATCTTTCCATATATAACGAAGATGTAGGCTTTTAACTCATAACTACGTCAAATATACTACTATCTCAGCAAAAATTGGCAAAATTAAGTTTTATATAGACTTAAATAACCATGATCGGCCGTCGTTTAACTCCAGCCCACATACAAACCTCCCTTTAAAAAATGACTTAAACGTCCAAAAATGTACATATAACCATTAGTATCACATAACTAACCTTTAACAAAAATAGAAGGACTTATTGTAGGGTTTCGAAATTTGGCTAATTGTTGTAAATTGGAATAGTTAAGAAAAATTCGAAGTTTACAAAAAATTGGTCCAAGGATTCATATACTTTCCATATATACCAAAATGGAAAATAGCGAAATTTTGCACAAGGTTTGTAATAAAATTCTGAAACTTTCTAGTAATAATATATAAATAATCAGGAATCAACATTTTGGTTTTTTCATAATTTAGATAATTTTTACTAAAAACGCGTTAAAATCTTTAAACCCTAAAATATTTGTGTGTAATTGTAATTATGTATTGGTTCAACATACGCAAATATCCATACTAAAATTTATTGAATTCGACGAAGTAATACAGAAGTTTTCGCAAAATTTACAACTATTCGAATTTTTTAATAATTGTCATTGCATGTGTTTTCGCATTTTTTGCAAAAAATAATATTTTTTCTCAATAACTTATTTTGTTAACAATTTTATTTGTGTAAAAATATTGTAGAAATCGTGCGATCAGTTTTTAAACTATTTTGACATTTTGATTCCTTCCTAGAATTTTAATATATTTCATAAAAATATGTATAAAAATAAACAAATAATAATTTCCAGAATTAAAATATATTTATTTGTATTTATTATTTGCAAATAGTCTTAAAAAAATAATTAAATTAAAAAAAAAAATTAAAAATATTTATAAGCCTGTTTGCAAAATTTTTTGAGAGATTTTGCAAAATATAGGAAAAAGTTGGTTATTTTTCTTAACCTTTCTCATAAAATACACTTTAGGCTATAATAAAACCTAAAAATCGGCAAAAAAATATACATGTAATTATAAGATATATTTTAAGAACATCATGATGAATCATTGTAATCATAATTTGCTAGAAAAAACGCGATTTGAAATATATATTTTTTAATTTATCCTAAATATCGTGTGCACCATCATAGCAAATTGTCGCATTATTGTTGTATTGTGCAGGGTTTATCTTCTACACAATATTTTGACAGATCATATTACTTGTGGTATAATTTAAACTGGCTTTTATTGCTAAAGGAATGGTAGAGGAAAACTAAAATAAATTAAAGTTTTATAAAACTAAACTTCTTTAAAAACACTATGGTGAAGGGTTATGTTATTATTAAAAAAACAAAACTAGCGTGGCGAGAACTTGCCTCCAATGACATCACCGTGTTAAAATAATAAGTTAAAGTCAGTAAGTAGTGAAAAGTTTCTTGACTCATTACTTCTCAATGTAATTTTCCTGGGTAGTTATTCGTTTATTTGTAACAAACAAAATATACAATTAAGTTTTTGCAAGTAAATAGGTAAGCACATATTAAGTTGTTCTAGGTAAGTATTTATTTGGACAACGTCAAACAAAAATAAGTAATTATTTACCCCAAAAGTAAGTAGTTTCTACATTTTTCCAACATTACTTTCAGGTAAGTAACGATTTTTCTGAGAAATATTTTAAAAATATACCATAAAAATTTTGATATTCATTTTCAAAATTTTGCTTAATTTCAAGAAAAACAATTAACTCTTTTATATTTTATCCATTATTCATATTGCCGTTATAAGCATACGAAGTTAGATTTTAGCTACAATGGGTGAAGAAGCATCTTAACTGAATATTTTTTTACCCGAATGTGATTTTCCCTTTTTTAAAGTTCATTTCTGAAAATCGAACACTGTGTCTCGATTATGTCAGTCTTGTAGTATATGAGCGATACAAATTATGTTTTGATATTTAAAGAATATACCTATGTAATATTTTTTCGAATATACATATAAATTCTGCGCATGTTTATACTCTTGAAATGTTATTGAATAAGGAAATATCTCGCATGTTACAAAAAATCAATACTCTTTCTTCCCTTCTGAGGGTTTTGCGCATTTAGTTGTTCTCTTCTATACGATTTTTAACAGCAATATAAATTTGAAAAAACCTAGATTTACCCTGACTGTTTTGCATTTAACTAGATATAAGCAGATATACATTGTACTCGGACCAAAGAAGTTTGCTATCGGAATTCGAATAATTTAAAGTGTGCGAGAATCTACTATTTTGTTTGGAATACAAAAAGTGTTAAAAAGCAAAAAAATAAATAAATAAATAAAAAATGTTAATGCTAAAAGCATTTATACATACATATATATATGTCGTTCATATCAAATGAAATTAATTGAATACATAGAATTCATTATAAAGTGCTTAGTGTAATGATTTTATAATCGTAAAATGTGCCAATAAGTTCCTTATTAAATGATACGCCTATACAAAAATTAAGAACGAATAAAAGTTGTAACTGATTTGGAATACAGCATCCAAATATAAAGTACATCAACCCGTATTAAACATATGGATATTTAGCTTACACATCAATGGATATTTAAACTAACAGCAATTTAACTACTTGGAGGATAAAACTTAATGAAAATAGTTAAAAAAAAATCGTAGTTCATATAAAAATCATATAAAATTTGGTAATTTTTTATATCCTACACCTCTACAGTGGGGAGGGTACTATACGTTTGTGTTATGATTGTAATTATTTTTTCTCCGTCAGTCCGTCCATGTAAACCTTGTAATCAATGTGCAGGTCGCAATTTTAAAGACAATTCGATAAAATTTGGTACACGCAATACTTTTGGCCTAAGGACGAACCCTATTGGTTTAAATCACCTATCTTAAATAGAATTGGACCTCATTAATATGGATTTAGAGCTCATAATTCTGTTAAATATATATGTATGTATCTTTACCAAAATCACCTTGTAGTCAATAAATATTAGTGATAAACAATGAGATCGTTATTTTGTATAATAACATATTACTTAATAACACTAACTGGTGTAGGGTATCATATGGTCGGCCATGACCGACTAAATTGTCTGCCTTTTTAGTTGTTGTAACATTCATATACAATTTTCCCGCTTTCAGTTCCTCTTTCGATGATTTTAAAAGTTTCCGCAGTCCTTTCCCAACATTGCGATATTTTTTATCGTGAAAAGGTTCAAATGTACATAAGTTCGTAATTCCAAATCGGGAGATATTGCATTTTAAAGTTTAAACTGTTTCTGAGGTGATTTTTGATTATTTAAATTTAAAAAACAAAACTCACACGCATATAAAAGTAAATAAATACATGAAACTAGAGTCCATTTGAATTATCATGCATATATATTTAGTTTTTCGTAATTAGTTCGTATGTGAAAACTTTTTTCAAATTTTAAAAAATAAAAGTTCATACTTTAAAACGCAATATCTCCCGATTTTTAACCAACTTTTCAAAACGGAGTATGCCACTAGATTCTACGACTCAAATATCAAAAATACTATAGCAAGAGCTTGTAGAGCGTGAAGCATTGTGAGCATTTTAGAAATTGCTTACGGTGCGGGAAGTTTTTTGACCGAATTAAAAAATAGCCTTATATTATCAGGACAGTATTAGCTATAAGGCAGTGCTATGGTATTTTGCCGGCCAAAAAAGTCATTAATCTAATGTACATATCGTCACCTGAAATGCATTTTACATTTACATTTTTTAGGAGAGATGAAAAACTAAATAAAATTAATGCTATTTTTGTTACTAAAACTACATTTTCTTACAAGTACTGTATCCCATCCGTATACTGTATATACGGTACCGCCAGACATTGTCTATTATGTTGCTTTTTATTAGGACTTTCTTATTTTTGGAACTGACTAATTTGTTGTTACGCTCTTTTGAATTTCATTCCTATAAAGTCGGTATTTTTGACAATAGGGTTCTAAAAATTTGCAATAACATGTACATATTTCGATGTAGTGGACCATTTTCAATCATAAAGTCGATTTTCATTTGTTTTGGTTGTTAAGCCTTTTTGCATTTCAGGTGCCGATATATATGTATTAGGGTGATCGATTATTCGACATTTTCCAAAACCAGGTTTTCGAATAGTTGACATTTGAAAAAAACCAGTTGATATTTTTCAAATTCAGAAAAAACTGGTTAACCGGCTTTTTATTATAAATAACAAAATCTATTTTATTTTGAAAAAATAACGTTTATGCTTAAATTTGATGGCACGAACTGATTTTTAACAGTTTAAAATATTATAAATTTAGATATGGTCGTCTGATTTACATTATTTCTTTAATGTAAAAAAAATTAAAAAAGTGGGACATTTTGTAATCCTAGCTTATTCTAAAATCAACGTTTGGACAATTTTCATCACACATCAATAATATTTTAGCCGCAAATTAATTATTATACCCTACACCACTTTAGTGGGGAGGGTATATTGGGTTTGTGCTGATGTTTGTAGCATACAAAAATATTCGTCCTATACCCACCTTAAAGTATACCAATCGGCTTAGAATCGTTTTCTGAGTCGATTAAGCTATGTCCGTCCGTCTGGCTGGCTGTCCATGTAAACCTTGTGCGCAAGGTACAGGTCGCAATTTTCAAGATAATTGGATGATTGGAAGTCTTGATGACCCTGCCAAATTTCATAAAGTCCCCTTCAGAAAATTACTTGAATGTCCCAAATTAACTTATAAACACAAATATCGCGATGAAATTCAGCACAATAAAATATTATGTAAATATAAATATATTCACAAAATCGGGCTTGGTCCATATTTGCACCTAGCCCCCATATAAAGCCTCTTTCAGAAAATTAGTTTTTCATCCATAAATTGCTTAAATGTATCGGAACAAGGGAATATTGAAGATAAATGCTTTATTATGAAAAATAAATCACATTTAATATTCATAACTGGTGTAGGGTATCATATGGTCGGCCACGCCCGACTATACTTTCTTACTTGTTTTTATTGGAATATAATCTCAAGATTGATAAAATTTTATCAAATATGAATTTATTCCAATAAATTTTAAATTTGTTTATTAATTAGGAAAATCAAAAAAGTTGAACCAAAGGTGTGTTAGAAAACTATACTCTAGTTAATGGACTCCAATATTTTTAAAATTTACACGGGCTGTATTATTATTTACTTCAAAATTTCATTTAAGTAATCTTTGAATACAATACAAATAAAAGTATTCGAAACCGGTTTTTAAAAAGTAAAAAACGCGGGTTATTCGATATTCGAAAAATCAACATTTAGAAAAAAAAGACACTGGTAAAGAAGAAAAAACGGGTTTTAAAACCGGTTGAAAAACCGAGTCGATCACCCTAGTATGTATAAAGAAATTATGTTAAATAGTATTGTTTCCAATGAACTAGTGTATAACTACCGTCGAATAACTTCTAAGAAATTCTAATGAAACAAACAATGTTCCTCAAAACTGGTTGTAGAAATAAAAGCGATACCATTTGTCTAATTCAATGTTTGTATCGTAGTGTGTCACAATTTTAATACCCTTCACCTTCGTGAGGGTATATATTAGGGATGCCAATCCCGAAAATCCCGGGATTTTTCGGGATTAGTAAATCCCGAATCCCGGGATTTGCAAAATAAATCCCGGAATTTTTTCGAGATTATGATATCCCGAAACCCGGGATATCATAAATCCCGGGATTTGCTTCAATAAAAATTTTTATTTTCTGTTTTGAGCCATGATTTTCATAAATTTGCAAATTACGATTTAATTTTATTTCTGATTTATGCAAAACAAAATTCAGCTCAGCTAGTTTTATACATATTTTAGCGTTTTATTTTTTTTTTAAGTGGAATGATTCCATGCACATATAAATTGATTTATTAATTTCGTTTTTAACACATCGGAATGTTGGTAATAGACCCAAAAAGTATACACATTCTGTGTCGGTAAGTTGGAAACACGAGTTAAAAGACACATTCTATTAGAGCTGCAAATTTAGACGAAAATTGAGCAAGAAGACCTAATAGGAACTCCGAAAAAATTAGTATCAATACATTACAATATATTGTTGGTGGATAATTAATTTTAGCACAGTCGAATACAAACTTTATTTTTTAATACAAGAAGATTTTGGATTTCAAACTTTCTACAAATCTGAGTAATACCGGTAAAGGTAAATTAGCTTGTTCTGAATGTACATAAAATTTTCAATAAATACAAGTTATGTTCTAAAACTAACATATACTTACATATTTATGTAAAATTCCAAATATTTTTCCAAGAAAATTTTCTGAATTGGGCTCTGTTAGTTCGCATGGAACAGTATGAGGTTTTAAAATGTACTTACGTCCAATTCGGAACTTGATATTTATTTTTATTTAGGAATTATGGAGTTAAAAAGTATCCGAAATTATAAAATTCTGAAAGTTTTTTTAAAAAGTATAATTAATTAGATTGTTTTAATTTAAATACATCTTCTGTCTTCTAAATTTCAATAAACTTAAACACTTTCTTTACAAACATGATGATTTGAAGTTTTTCATATATAAAATAATTAAATTCATGTAATCCCGAAAAATCCCGGGATCCCGAAATATCCCGGGATTGCAATTTTCAAAATCCCGAATCCCGGGATTTGTAAATGCCAGTCCCGATTGGCATATATAGTATATATGTATGTATGTTTTTAATATAAATTTGATATTTACATACATATTCTAAATTTTTTGATATTTATTTTAAAAAATTCTAACAAAAAAATACTAGGTTACATCTCTGAAACTACATATAATATTAAATTTTACAGAGTTTTGGTTATTTTATTTTTTTTTAATCTAAACTACAATAATGGAGAGGGTATTATGCGTTTGTGTTGATACCCACCTTAAAGTATTGGCTCAGAATCACTTTCTGAGACTGTCCATCTGTGTGTCCATATAAACTGATAACTTGACGAAATTTAACACACACATCTCTCTCCCTAGCCCCATACAAAATATCCTTCAGACAATGCCTTTAAAGACCATAATTCAATTAAAAAAATTACCACACCATAAATTTCAGGATAAATATAATTTACTTAAATACATCCATTCAGTAAATTTCATGGGGATCGAACCATTTTTGACCCATTTTTCATAAAAAAATTGTTAAAATATAATTAAAGTAAAAATTCAGTATATTTTAAATATACTCGTAATTGGTGTGAGGTGTCATGTGATCGGATTTATAATTATTGTCAATCTCGAGATCGTGGGTCCGTTAAATTGGTAGCTCTGTCATCAAAAGCCTACTTTTATATTTTTTTGTCAAAAACTTAAGTTCTAAATATCTATACTTAAATAGGATAAAATAAAAATTAGTGATAGCAACTGCAATTTTATTAAAAAATTCATAAGGAAATATTTTTTGGTGCATATTTTTCACATTTTTAGTGCATATATCCTCATTTTATAGCGCATATTATTAATTTTTTAGTGCATGAAAATCCTTGCCTTGTTTATAACTAACAGTAAACCACTGGAAACAACAACGTATGTATAGTATTTGTGTTTGATATTTTGAATTTATTATCTTGTCACAGGGACGGGAAAACATTTATGAACGAAGTAAGAATTTTTTGGAAAAATTAAAGAAAAAACAAGTAAGAGTGTTATATTCGGCTGTGCCGAATCTCATATACCCACCATCAAACCGTATGCCGTAATATTAATGCTCCCCTATAAACATCAGCGTGATATTTGGAATATGGCTTAAGTCAATTATTGCCCGAGCTCTTTTGAACTAACAAAATATTAATTAAAAAAAAAAAAAACAAATATTTTATTTCAATTCTTAAACCGTGAGCGTCAATTATGAACCGATACTCATAAAATTTTGTACATAGATTATGTATAGGACTTGTTTATGCAAAATTTCAGCGCTATACTCGTATTTTAAATAAGGAACACTCGTAGTTATTAACCAAAACTCTTTCCTGAAGGGAACCTTTTGTGTATTAGCAACACATTCCGCATGGAATTCGGAGCGAATTTCATAACTCATATTTTTAAGCCAGTAATGATCGTTTAATCTAATACCTGAAGTGGACGCAATAGGGGGAGTAGGGCCAATTATGGACCTATCCACATAAAAGTTATTAAAAAGATTTTGGCTCGCGAGGAACTTAATTGTGTAAATTTTATTGCTATATTCATTT